CATGCTACAGCTGCACTACGGTCATGAGCATCTCCTGCAGCATCACCTGACTCCAGCTCCTTCACCCTTCAGACAACCTGCGTCTCCAGCGCTGACATTAAATCGCCCTTCAGAGCGAGGTGGAGGCGCATTAGCAGATATAAATTTTGATTGACACATAATTTCCTTTCCCTCGGTCCACCTCGGACGGCCGTGCGTTTGATGGGTTTATCAGATAGGGAGGCCTCGGCGCTGAGAGGCAGGGCGGGGGGCTGCAGAGGAGACGGAGTGACAGCCGAGGGGAGCTCGAGGAACTTTCAAAGAGCGGCAGAGGAAGCTCGCTCGCTCGCTCGCGCTCTGCTCGGCGGCGGCGTGTGAAGTGCGGCGCTTTGAAGAGTTGGCTGAGAGGAGGTGGGGTTCGCCCGCCTCTTATCTCGCCATGTGACGGCTGTTAGTGAGGTCTCGACGGGTGCCGCCGCCGCCGCCGCCCGCTAACGAAGGCTGCGCAGATGAAATGAATTTTATTATTTTAAAGCTATGATTTGAGGCTATGATGTCACCGCCTCATCTATAAAGAAAAGAAAAGAAAATTCCCAGAAACAATGGTGGAAATCTAGGACATGACATTACAATATGGAAAGTCAATTAATCTGCACATACTGTAGAATAAATGAGGATTCTTCTTATGATGGTGACTATAATGCAGCAAGTAGCCAGAAAATAATACATTAGAATCAGTGAAATCTTGTTATGCTAAAAAAATTCTACAAAATTATTTTTAAAATTATGACAAATATATATATGTGATTTAAATACAGTAAAACAGTGTAATTTTATATGTTAAATTAAATATTGCAAAAAAATTAAATTTAAATGTTTGCTAAATTTCTATTTAAATAGTTTTGTGTTTTTTTTAATTTTTAATAACAGACAATATGTAAGTTAATGTTTTTTCCCTGTGATTTAACTTGATATTATCTGTAATTTAATAAAAACAAATCTGCAAAATAGCAAAAACATTTTACAATTTTTTTTTACTCATTAATACACATATTTTTTTCTTTTTAAATATTTCAAACGCATTTTTTGCTGATAAAAATAGAAAAAATAGCCTAATTTTGCAGGTAAAATTTGTATAAATCTGGGAATAAATTACATTTTTTAAATAATACTTTTCATGTGGATGTTATTTAAGGTTTTACCCTTTTTTCTTAAAAAAAAAAAAACTAAAAATTTTATTAAATGAATACGCAGTGATTTCACTATTCGTTGTCAGTACTTTAATAAAACAGAATAATTCCATTCTAAAATCCTTAATAAACATATTTTTTCTTCTAAGTAATGGCAAATATTTCTAAATTAATACTAATTTTTGCTGATATAATTCTGTAAATACAGCTTTGTAGAGGAATTAATTACATTTGATAAAACTACAGACTGTTGATGCCAGTATTTGCAGTTTTAACCTGTTTCTTTCTTTTTTTAAATTTACGGTTAAAGTGTAAATTCATCACCTTTTTTCTATGATCTTACAAGTATATCTGTAATTTACCTAAACCAGGAGAACATGTATAATATCATGAACCTGTGAGGAAGTTTCAGTAAATTCCTTAAGAGATGAGCATTGTGATTGAACACATTCTCGGCTGGCGTTACCGTTCGGAGTTATTACGACCGCTGAGCTGCAGGTTTTGAGGCTACTCTGGGTTCTGCTTTGATCCTTTGCTTTTAAAAATGCACCAGCGTATAACATCAGAGCCTTTCCTTTAAAACCTCCTCGCTGCCAGGTCTCATTACAATATGAACCGCTCCCCGAGAGCAGCACTCTAACTTTCTGAGGTAAAGCTTTTACATCGAGAGCAGCCGGCATCGATTTTATCTTAATGCACACTTGACTTGATTCTCTTATTATCGATACAAAGACAGAGCCGGAGCAAAATATACAGAAACAAAGGTCTGATGCCTGATAAAACAAAGCACGGGAGGTGCCCCTCGAAGAGCCCGACGCAAATGCGTTTAGCCGCTAATTAATTACACCAAGAGGCAGGAAGTGGATGCGGGTGCTGGGTGCACTAGTTACTAGTTTCCATACAGATGCGGCGCTCGGCTATCTTTAGCCGCGCATCAGTGAGTCAGGAATACAGAGTGAGGAGGGAGGACAGGAAGCCAGAGAATGAGTGCTGCAGGGGGAAGAGAGTAAACATAAACAAAACACACAACAGCAACAACATGAAGGCAAACAGGCTCAGAGCAGCGCCGGGGCTCCTGAGGAGAGCGCCGGCGTCCTCGCACTGAGACGGAGACACAAACCACACATACACATATATAGATACAGATACAGATACAGATATAGATATAGATATAGATACAGAGATCTCAAAAGTGAGGTTTTCCACGGTTAAACTGAGGACCTGCTGAGGTTTCGGTTGATTAATCAAGTTAACCAAATGCTACACGACGTAATGCGATACAGTCGCCAGCTAACGAAACATAAACACAACAGCAGCGTAATAGCCCAGCGGCAGGTTTGTATGTATTTTCATGCTTCCGACGAAAGAAATCTCTGAGATCCGAGGGGGCCGGCTCACTTTTAACCCGCTAGGTTGCCACGG